CCCATCATGATATAAAAAGAATTGAAAATGAAGAAAATTTTATGCTTTTTAACCATGAAGTATTGGATGAAATATATGGAGATAACGAACAGTATTCAAACTCAAAAGTCCATTAAACAATACAAAATAGGAGCAGAGCAAACACGGACCTCTAAACATCAGAGGTGGGATCAGGTGCCATAGAGGAGTGAGCATCCCCTGTCGACCGGTCACACCCGCCGTGTGCTCCTTGTCATGATCGGGAAATAACGGAAAAATCCGTCGACAATTCAGTGTGTAAATAATGGCCTAACAATTAGTATGAAAAACGTCAGTCAGCATTTGACTCAATGATAGATTGTATTTGCTGACAAGATCATTGTATCGACCATAGAACTTACGAAATGATGACTTTAAACGAGACAGCTGATATTCTTGTTTCATCAATTTGTTTGTCAATAATTTACCTCGTTTTAGAAATTGTACATACGTAGAGCATGCTCTTGCGTATCGAATCAACTGAGCGATATATACCCCGTATGCAGGTGATGAAGGTATATTGCTGCATAAGTAAGGGAAGTTGACGATTGAAAAGTTAAAGTCATCACGTTTATCATAAAGCTTGGTTGTTAGATTACCATTAACGTCTTTTTTCAAGTAAAATATCCAAATATGAAACAGATGTGTCAGATTCTGTGGTATCTTTTATCTCAAGCTCACCAGGATATATCGTATCGACATAAGAATGGAAATAGCCATTGTTAATTGACAATACATCGTCGATATATCTAAATGTCGAGTTGAAGGCCACAGCAAGTGTTTTCTTCTTTTCACGTACAAGATTTTTTGGACAAATTCTGCTTCATATGAATACAAAAAAAGGTCTGCTAATAACGGGGCGCAATTGGTACCCATGGGAATTCCAATAGATTGTTGGAAGACCTGGTCTCCAAAAACCACATAGATATTGTCAATCAGAAACTCAGCATTTTTTTAATGTCAACTTCAGAGTACTTGTGTGTACAATGAGAATGTTTTTAACAAAATAATTTTGCATATGACCAATGACAAGGTAAGTATATTTACGAGTTCCATTTTTATTGAAAAAGCAGCTGTCAATTATATCAAAAAGCCTGGACTTTAATTTATCGTGGGGAATGGTTGTGTATATTGCAGTTTCATCCCAACTTGATGTTGCCAAAACTTTACGAATTTATGTGTTTTGTGGTTTTAATTTTAAATCTTACTGCAGTCAAGAGTTTAACAAAGCTGTTTTGTAATTATCAATGAACTTCATCTCTTTACCACAAAATAAATTATAAAAAATGCTGGATACTATTTGTAGATGAAATTATTATGTAAATCAACAAATCAAAGACATTTCTGGACTTTTCAGTTCACAGAATAGTTTACATCATCAAATGTATATTTGAAAAAAAAATATATATATTGCATAAGAAAGAAAAACATATTTTGAAGTCAGGAAAATATTAAAAAAATCCCGTAAATGATTAAAAATATCAACAACGAACTACTGTACAAAATTAGAATTAAATATTGTGTGTTAAAATATTTTAAACAGTGTTTGATAAAAAACATGACAGATGTCAGGGGTGCAACAAAATAAAGTAAAATAGGATCACCTAAAATCTAGTAGTTTTTTTCCGTAGGAAAACTTGCATTACCAAACTTCTCTCTTGGCTCAGATTGGAAGAATTGGCAAAATTGACAAAAAAAAAAAAAAAAAAAAAAAAAAAAAAAAAAAAAATGGAGTAATATTTCATATCGAAACTTTTCAAACCAGAATCGAGACAATTGATATTAAATTGCAAATCAAAACCATTTTTTCACATATACAAGAGGGAAAACCCAATCAATGTTTAGATCTAATCATTAATATCCTTGAAACAAGTCTGAAGATAAAAAAAAACAACAATTTCTTTTGATTATGTATTTCAGAAAGTCCTTTTTAAAATGAAGTCATATTCTTTTTTTTCATTTGAAGATCTACAGATAAAACTTCTGAAACTTTTTATCCACTGTTCAATTTTTATAGTAATTTCGGAAATTTTAAATAGAATCTATATACAATATGATGATATAATTGAAAATGATTGCTGGTCATTATTTTTGCATTCACCCCTATGGGATTTATATCTCCCAGTTGATTCGATATGCAAGAGCATTCTCAACGTACAAACAATTTCTAAAACAAGGCAAGCTATTGACAAACAAGTTGATGAAATAAGGATATAAACAGTCTCTTTTAAAGTAATTCTTTTGCAAGTTTTATGGTCGATACAATGACTTGCCGGCAAATACAATCTATCATTAAGTCGAATGCTGACTAACGTTTTTCATACTAATTGTTAGGCCATTATTTAAACACTGAATTGTCTGCGGATTTTTTCCGTTTGCCCGATCCTAACAACGGTCGGCAGGGGATGGATGCTCACTCCCCCATGGACCTGATCCCACTTCTGCTGTTTAAGAGATCCGTGTTTGATTTGTATTAAATTGTTTCAATGGACCTTTGAGCTTGAATATTGTTCGTTATCTCCATATTTCATCCTAAAGGAATAAGTATGTTTTAAAGAAAATGGTCTACAACCTGATATAGGGAATTATTAATATTTTCAAAATAATATTTAACATCATGGATAAAATATTGACATTTTTCTACATCCTACTTTAAATGTGTGTATTCCCTTTGAGCATTCTCTAAATAAGAACAAAAACGAAGAATTGATTGAAGCATACTAAATTACTAAAGGTCTTACTGCTATGGCCATCACAAATCCTTTAATCCAGCCAAACTTAATTCATGAAGATTGATTGATTGATTGTATTTTGTTTTACGTCCCATTCGAGAATTTTTCACTCATATAGAGACTTCACCATATACCGGTGAAGGGCTTTAAATTTTTACCTTTACTCGGCAGCCAGTGGACCTTTTCACAAAAAATCTTAAGTTTTTGCGTAAGATTTTAACTTAAGAATCTCTTACGACAAATCTTAAGTGCTTTTCACGAACGCATTCGTAGCAGATTGAACTTAAGATTTTACTTACGACAGACGTCATCCCTATCAACGACTTCAATATGCTTTATATTCCTTGAATAAGTGGGTGAAAATAAAAATAAAACTTAGTGTTCAACATTTGTCAGCATAAAAAATATTATTGACAACAAATATCGAATGTGATCGTTCGTGAAGCAAGGAAGTTTAAAATCTGACGTCACAATCACAAGTCTGACGTAAAAGTAGGTCATACGAAAATCTTAAGTGAAACTTACATCGTAAATATTTTGTAGTGTCTTTCATTTAATTTTTCGACAATGATTGTGAAAAAAATATAAAATACCATTGGAAGTTGCTTTAAAAGGTTCATTTTAACGTGTGTTTTGGTCTTTGCGGTTATATTTTTACAATAGAATCGGTTTTAAAATAATAAAGAGAGGGATGGGACTCTCGTAAAGTTACGACAGATTTTGCACTTACGACTTTCTTAAGAATTTTTGTGAAAACGATTTTTATCATAAGTTTTCACTTAAGAAAAAATATGTCGTAAGATTTTTTGTGAAAAGGTCTACAGGTCCATTGATTAGTGAGGGATTTTTATCGTACCAATGCCTGCCGTGACACAGGGCCTCGGTTTTTAAGGTTTCATCCGAAGGACCCACAACTTTCACTTCAAAGTGCCGAGTGCTTGGCGAAGGAACAGTTCAGTTGCTACCTATTTTTTTTTATCGATTTAGGTCAGTCGCGGCCGTGATTAGAACACACGACTTTCCGATCACGTAGCGAGCGCTGTACCGACTGAGCTACCTTGACGGTGAATTAATGAAGAGAGAATCTTCTAGGTGCTGTTCACCAACATTTTACATAAAATTGTAGGAAAATAGAAACAAGTAACTGATTGAGCTTTTGTAATAATTTCAATCTGGTTTTCCGTGCGCACCAGTTTTTGTAAAGAACTATGGTATGGGATGTAGAAAAACACATACAATGAAATTAAATAATTGTAATGTGTATTACTATGAAGATGTTGCAATGACAGGGTCCGTAAAAGACTGAAGAAAGTCCTTCGCGAAAAACTGTGCTGTACTATATTTTCAATCAGACTCAATACCTACAAATTCAACAGAAAGTCGCTGGTTTCCGTAGATAGTAAAAAAGATACAATGATGACAAAATATACTCAGATGCTAAGCTAAAATAAAAAAAGATATGTTAACCAATTAAGGAACTAAAGAAGAAGGTATGGTTTTAGCTTTATTGTGCCCTAAAAATTTAATGTTTTCAAAAAGTTTTGAAACTGGCTTAAATATTAGATGAGTATATGACTGTAATAAATCAGGAAAGAATATAGCATGATGGAGTACCATTCTGGATATATGACGTCATTAATTTGATGCATTTCTCTATTTTAAACAGAAAAAGCCTCAAAATGGCCCATTTCAAGGGTTATTTTCCTTACGAAAATAGTGTCCACAGCCGTCGCCCACGTTAATTTTTAGATATATTGTGTAAAATTCTTTGAAAAATCACATATCTCAAAATCTTTGTGGGCGATGCCTGTGGACAATATTATCTGAAAGAAAATTCTATTGAAAATTTATGTCTTCTGCAACTTTTTAAGAAAATACGGGAAAATGCACAAGTTTATGACGTCACAATTAGCATTTGGAAGGTCATGTGAGAAAAAAGATTTGTATGATCTTTCTGCATGGAATTTCAATAATTCAAAAAGCATGAGTTTTAATTTTTTACATCACTTTTATTTTTAAGAAAAACACAGGGCAGGATTTGTATTGAAACCGTACCTTGTTCTTTGTTTAAGAAATATAATGTAGTAATTATAATTTTAAAATGCAAATTAAATAACTCGCAAATACAATTAACCTTTAATATAGTTTTATTCTGTGAATGATATAAGTTTCAGTGACATGATATAAATTTTCTCCTTTGCTTCTTTTGTTTCCATTTTTATTCATATAAAACACTTTTCTTTTTTCCAGAAGGCATCTCAAAACATATTTGTACACAAACTAAAGGGTGTGAAGATCCATCCAAGACATGTTTGCGATCGTCGACAGAACAAATCGGCGTTTGCATATGCGAATCTGGGTATATAAGATTCGGAAACAAATGTTTAAAGGGTAAATAGTTTTAAGCACGATGAGTTTATATATTGATTTTCACATTCTGTATTTAATCAAACAAAATTATTTGTGACATGACCCGGCGAGTTTTTCTTTGAAGTCAGCCGTACAATAACTGCGATACAGAACACTTTTAGTGGGCGTTTTTTATGCAAATGAGTAGAAACTGTACTGTATCTGAAAAATATCAGCGATACAGTACGGTTTATTTTTAGCGATGAGGGAAAACTGAATCCGTATCTTAAATGATATAGACATAAGAATCAATCAAATCGCATGCTAGCGCTGTTAGTATTTATTCAAACTTTGAGATGAATTAAGAATTGAATTTTACACGTAAAGTTACCAGTGGCAGATTCAAAAATTTTAGAAAGGAGGGGTGAGGGCAGTACACAAATGGTTTTCTTCGAAAAAAAATGTCCAAACTGAAGAATCGGGAGTTTCGTATGGGGTAGATTCATATTCAGGCATGACACTTTATGTGCGTGATCGTTTCATGTTGATAAATTAAAAGTGTATACAAGTTTAGCAAACATAATTCACGAAAGCCAAAAAGGAAAAAAAATCGAAAGGGGGGGGGGATACCGACGCGCGCGAGCGAGTGCTGGATCTGCCTTTGGTTCCTTTAGATTTTGTTTCAAACATGAAGGTAATATGCCCCCTTTCTTACATCTGTTTATTTCAATTTGGAGCCAAGAATTTTGTTTTCACAAGTATGACTACCGGTCGATAACATTGTCGGACATTTCTCTCAGAATACGACCTCCCCGAAACATTTTTGCTTGAAATACATTCCCATGATGATTCTTATGTATCAAAATGTTTTGCACTAAATTCGTAGCTTAGATTTTAAAAAAGTCAGCAAGAGCTAAATAGAAGGGAAACAAACCTAAGCAATCAAATATAAATTAAATTATGGGAAAACACATTATATAATGCATCTCATGATTATAATTATTTAAATTGATAGATACCTGCACGTCCACCTCAATCGGCATTTCAGTTGCTATTGCTAAAAATTGGGTACTAAATCAACTTTCTGCAAAATCATCTGATTGGTTGAGAGATATATACCCAAATACACATGTAAATTAGCGAGGCCATAAGAAAGGTCATGTCACAAGTCATTTAGAATACTCGTTTCCTACTGTATCCGGGATACAGGGCGGGGCCCGGCTCAAGCTATCGCTCTCGCCTTAAGCCCCGCCCTGTATCTCCGATACAGTAGGAAACTCGTACTCTGAATATAACTTACAGCCTAGAAACATGTGAATATTTAAATTTTATCTTTAAATGTGTTTTTTTTTAAATTTCATTTATCAGGAAATTTGAAACTGAACAATACATGCCAGCGAAATGAGCAGTGTTCTGGAGCAGTTGGTATTGTTTGTCAGAACAATGTATGTGTCTGTAGGCCAGGATATGTCCCACTCAATGATTCCAGCTGTTTTTTCCGTAAGTTCATTTAAATTCTCTCATATATATTTTTTAGTTATGTTACTCTTTGAACAAATACAGACTAACAGCGGCTGATGATGCAATAAAGAAATGGAAATTGAAAAGATAGTTTGTGTTCTACATATTTTACATGTTAAGATACCGACTTTGTTGTTAAATGGGTAGAGTGTCTTTGGAAGAACAACAGTCCTAGGCCTCTAGAAAAATTTAAAAATCCGGGGGAAAATGACTAGAAAGAATATACAACTTGAAAGATTTCTTTTTTCATTCAAAATCTTACAAATTATGATCAAAAGTTTAATATTAAATGGCCAATGCTGTATTTGAGTAGTTTTTTCTTTGTAAAAGTTGCAAATTAAATTCCAGTAGCGGTGTTAAATTAGTTTTGAGGAATATTGTAAATTATTTCATAAAACTTTGTTTTTTGAAATCACAAACGAACAAATAATTCAGTATGATGACTCAGTAATATACCCAGTAAAGACAATCAGAAAATTCTTATCTTGATGTGAACATATTTCAAGGTTCTATAATATTTCACTTATTGTATAAATAATATTTTTTGAGGAAAGCTAATTACCATTTATCTAAAATTTTATTCTAAAATATCGATTCAATTTACCGATGAACGCACACACTTGAGAGGCGTTGCATCAGGAGCTGTTCCGAATGGATATATAAGTTGAGGTATTGCACATTGCAAGTTAGTCAAACAGTAAGCAAATAACGACCAAAACTAATGAATTGATCTATAAAAAGAAATTTGTATTCTTCAACAGTAATACTGTAATTCTTTCACAAAATATTGAAGTATTGGTCACAGGCACTTGCCCCCCCCCCCCTTTCCATTTTTTTCTCTAAAATCTGGAGTCGACACACCTTTTTCATATTTTTATATTCTAATGTGCACTACCTGATATCGATAAGCCTTTTGTCTCGATAAGCTGTTTTTAAATATATTGTTTTCGACTGACACATAAAAAGAGAGAAGCCTTTCAAATCTTTTCTCGTCACTCGCTTCACCTCGCTTAAACTTCGCTTGATTATTTATTGAAAGCATAATGAAACACGGAATATGCATACATCAATAAACTTGTTACAAATTCCTCTTCCTTTACATATTTCCATTTATTTTTTAAGTACCACCGAATTGTAAATATTTTCGATCAAATCACTCGCATCTAGGCTAAATTTTGTTGGTGTGCATCAGCTGGTCATGGAAGTGCAATAACGGTAACTCTGACTTTTTAAATTCTTTACAATGCTTTGCATTAAAAAGTTTTTTTTCCGGCCTTGTGAAAAAATTATTAATATAATAATAATAATAATAATCAAGGCCGTATGTTTATTGCTACTCTTCATCCATCAGAATCGGCTAAAAACAGTTATCTGGTTAAATACAGAACTTAACGTTAAATAGTGAGAGAAAATTCGGTTTTTCCCCTCTTGCATATAATGTTTCGTACGACATCGCACTGATGATGAAGCCCGAAAATACCGGGCACTTCTGTAAATAATCACGCGAGACAAAAGGGTTATATTAGATACCAGGTAGTGCATATTAGAGTACAAAAATAGGATAAAGGTTTGTCAACCACCCAAGATTTAAAAAAAAAAAGGAAAAACCTGGAAAAGGGGCGGGGGTGGGGGGTCCAACCCCCCAAGTGCCTGTGGCATTGGTATGAAATTATGGGTTATTGACAGATTGGGAAATATGCCCGTCCGAGGAATTTGTGCGGTAAAGCAGACTTAGTTGCACTGACCGAGTGCGGGCATACTTCCCGATATTTAGTCAAAAGTCTCTAAATTACAGGCATTTATAACCATGCGTATAGTTTTTAAAATAATTTATATAAAACACAAAGTAGTCACAGGGAATTTACAGTGAGGACTGAAATGGCTCTGTACAATCTTTATAAAGAATATATTAGAATATGCAATAGAGAACGCAGCGAGCGACAGAATCTATCTGAATGTTTGCCCATAAACATATATATAAGAGGCCTGTTCAACAGATTACTTATTCCTCCAACAGAAATGTTCGCGAGCGCTCAGGCTGTTGAACAGGCTTCAGAATGTGTAATAGTGAACAAAGCGTGAACAAATATTTGTATGCATGTATGCTGAATTTTTTGCTGGTCAACTGCACTAATTATAGAAATAATTAATTCATTTTTAAGATTTTCAAGATTTAACGAGGATCGGACTGTTGATATTCTTGTTTCATCAACTTGTTTGTCAATAGCTTGCCTCGTTATAGAAACTCCATTGAGTGTATGCAATTGCATTAGAACGATCTATTAAGACCCTTATTCAAACCCTCCAATGTACCTGCATACAATAATACGGCGGTATCAGTTAACTAGGAAATTTTATGGAAAATATATGAATAAAATTATAAAAATAAAAAGACATTGCATCCATGTTAATGTCACTTTAAATATCTGTAAATAATATTTTATCTAATTATAAAATACATTTTAGCTTTGGAAAAAAATACTTGATCAGCCTCTCACTTCAATCAAATTGCGTCAAGTTGTACGAAATAACATCACATCGACAAATACATGGCGAACAGGGACTTGTTTAAACCTTGCTATGTGGGATTGACCTAAAGACATAACAGCATGTTATAGTCAGTTTTAATGTAGTTTTATTCTCTCGTACAGTTTGAAATCGCAAATTATTTCAGTTTGTGGTATTTTAAAGAATTGTTAGGATTGTGTGATGTCATAGTTAATATTTACCGTATAAATCAGGCGCCCGCCTATTTTTTGTAGCCTTAACTGTGCTGCGAAATATACATGTAAGTAAGAGCAGAACATCACGGACTCCTGAAAACTTATGTAGTATGATCAAGTGTCATGGAGAAGCAAATATCAAAATCAGTCGACAACGCAGTATGAAATTAATGGCCTAACAATTTCCATGAAAAAATATCAGTCAACAATATTTAGATTGTGTTTACAAACAAGTTCATTATATCGATCACATATAGCATTCGGAAATTTTTACTTTAAAGTTCTTTAAACAATACTTTTGATGCCCATATATGATCAGTTTATTTGTCAGTACCTCATCACAGAAATTGTTCGTGGTAAAATATTCCCTAATGTATTAAATTAACTGGGAGACATGAACTTCATAGGCAGATGAAAACGGTATATTGCTTTATAAATAGGTGAAGGTGAAGACAGAAAAGTTAAAATCATCACGTTTATCATTAAATTTAATTCTTAGTTTGTCATCAATGTCTTGCTCCAATTTAGACGTCCAAATTTTGAAGAGATGTGTCGGACTCTGCGGTTTCTTTTATTTCAATTTCAATGAATTCTATATTCTGACGAATTTCAAGCTGTTTAGTGATTTCTATCATACTTAGGACTTTGCTTATATTACACAGAATCATAATGATGAAAAATTACGCATTACGAAGGGTGTTCAAAAAGTTCGCGAGTTAATTGAATTACTTCCATAAAAGAAATAATATTAGGTTTTAGTGTTCAGTATTTTAAGAAGTAGTCCCCTCCGGTCTTAATGCACATCTGCCACCGTTCTGGCCATGCACGAATCACATGGCCACGTGATATTTCCCATAGCGTACTGTTCACGGCAGCTAAAAGATTTTTCAAGTCTTATATTTCTTACCATGCAGGTTCTTTTTTAAAACAAGAATAGCCAATTTGTCACAAATGGCCAAATCTTGGCAATAGGATGGGTGGACAAAGATATCTTTTCCCAGAATGAGCATGGTGACCATCACAACCCGACTCCTCTATCTTGGGCGCGTCGTTTATACAATGTGGACCAAGAATGGACGTCTTCTGATATGTTTAAAGTCTAAAGTAAATGATATTTTAGGGATTTAATAATTATTTTATTGTTAAGATATTCAATTTTTTTTCTAATGTAGCTTGGCGATCTTTCATAACAAATTGCTCAACTTGAGACACATCTCTTTCCCAGCTTACTTTCACTTGGCACCAGAACGAACATCCTTTTTAACCTTCTCCCTTCCTTCACTAAAACAATCAATGCATTTAATGATTGAACTTCTGGCAAGTCCTTTGTCTTCATAAACTTTGTACAAATTATTTTGTTATACAATTATAAATATCTTTTTATATATTTATTATAAATAAAAGTCCAATCAAAGTAAATATTTTTTCATCGGTCTAACAATTTCATTGTTGACCAGTCTGTCAGTCCAACATAAGAATTGTTAGACCGCAACGTCACTGCTACGTCACAAGTAATTAGTTGTCGTTCAATATTGGCGACATGGAAATAGCCGAAGTTTCAAGAATTACTACGTTTGCTATTTGAAAGATGGTGTCAGGGGAGAAATAATGTTTTGTGATAAATAATTTATGTGTTTTTATAATTTAATGATTATTTTTTTTCATTCTTTGTTGTTGTCATTTTTACTTAAAAAACCAAAATATTACTTATACAGAAATTGTTTGATTATATGAGTAAATTTGTTTAAAGGTTTTAATTTTAGTGTTTTATCTTAAGGACCCTCTATACACCTGTGCAAAATGTTTCTTTGGACTTTGAGAAAATTATATTGAATAAAGTTATAAATATTGAGCTTATCAATTTAATTTTCAATATATGGTACGTGGCATTTACCTCCAGGAAAAATGTTCTCAGACAATCAAGGGTTCTTAAGTGAAGGGTATATCAAAACAGTTATAGACGGGGATTTGGGCAACATATGATTTGTTGGAAGTGAAGGTGAAAAAAAAATGCTCTTGGCCTGCGGCCTCGGACAACATTTTCAACCTTCAGGTCCAACAAATCATATGTTGCCCTCATACGCAGTCAATAACTGTATAATATGCTACTGCAGAGGAAATTTCGAGAATTACATTAAACTTTACAGCCGTTCCATGCTCAAGTACGAGTCAACCATTTCACAAGCCATCTACATATTGACGTCATTTCCACACTGTGACGTCATAATCAGCAAAACATTTCGTTGCACATGCTATTTACAGAACATGTTAATGACTATATGTGTACCAAATTTCATTCTGATCTGAATCGTGGTTTTGTAAATATAGAGATCGCGAACTTTTTGATCACCCCTCGTAATCGCTAATCTGGTATAAAAAAGAAATAATGTAAACACATAAACTAAAGCAAGTTTAAGTAGTATAATGAAGAAATCATAAGAAAAACTTATTTAGGTAAAAGTTGACACTTATTGTTGATTTTTTAACATGCAAATTCAATATCTCGTAAATTCAGTGACAGGATCTGTCACGTAGTTTATTTTTTGAGTGATATTGAGTTCAACAAGGTTATAAAATTATTCATCGTTTCCTTTTTATTGATGTGCAAAACATTTCTTTTGCAGTAGGAATCTCAGAAGATTTGTGTACATCACCTGATGAGTGTAAAGATGAATCTAAAACATGTTCATTGACAGGACAATTCGGCATTTGTACTTGCAGAGATGGGTTCATAGGGTTTGGAAACAAATGTTTAAAGGGTAAAATCTGAAGGACGAATAAAAACCACGCTTTCCGAATTTGAATATTGCAATAGTACCAAAGATTATAAATCTCTGAAAATAAATTAATTTAAAATGGTTTCCAGTACATATTAATTAATTCACTTTATATTCAGAGAAGATACATTTTTTATTTATATATATTTTTAAAATGTTTTTCATTTTATTTATTAGGGAAATTGAAACTAAATGAAACATGCGAGCAAAATGAGCAGTGTTCTATGGTATTTGGCTCTGTTTGCCAGAACAACACATGTGTCTGTGGAGGTGAATACGTCTCCTCATTTAATGAGTCCGAATGTTCTTTGCGTAAGTTCATTTAAATCTACTCATGTCAATTATATTTAAAATTTATTTACACATACATATTTGACACATGCAAGTCTATTTTTCCTTTATTTAATAAATAAAGAAATGAATTAGAACATTATAATTCAAATAATTTATCTGTTATTTAGATCAAGTTTTGTTGTGCTTTGAGAAAAAAAAATAAGGAACAGCCATTCTTACCATTTTTAGCGCATACGAAACAATTTGTGAAGTTTTGGATTAATCCAAATTTGTAAACCACATCAGGGTTTATATTTTTTTTGCTCGAATTACTGTTGCATGCTTGTTGAAGCTTTCTATTTTACATGTCGAAAAGATCATTATCTACAGATATATTATTGCTTACAGCTTCCTCAGGTGGTAATTCTGAAGCAAGTGTCCAGGACCAGAAAGGTATTAGAATTCCGAGCATTGTATTTAAAATCCATTTGGGTTTAAGTTAAATCTGTAAAAAAAACATACATTCATTATTTTTGGGCGTTTCTTGCTTGAATTCTTTTGCATTAAGATAAACAAATTGGAAAAGGGGAAAATGCAAATGAGGAGTGGTGCATTGAGCTAAATCATATTTATATTTGTTTGCTATTAATTAAAAGCTGTTTAACACTAGAAATACTAGTAGTTGTTTTAGTATGTTTTTTAAAGAACCAACGAAATTTCTTGTAACTAATTTTTTCTGTTATATCCTTGCAGAAGATACAGTAGTCAGTGTGACAGTTGGGTCTGTTATTGGTGGCCTTATCTTAGGCATTATCCTAACTGTTCTTGGACTAATAATCTACCAAAAAATACGAAATTGGAAACCTAAAGCTGAAAAAAGGTATCAGTGCTTACAGCTGAGTTTGTTTCTGTGTTTTAGCAATCATTTCTAACACTTCTAACATGTTTTATTAATGACTGAAATCGAATCACAATTTTTGATCATTTTATTTAGAAAATGCCCAAAGGCTGCAGTTTTTAACAATACTACTTATAAATCTGAAAGTGATGCAGATCAGAACATTCCCACCGTGCAACGTACAAATGAGGTAAGAAATATAAAGATTATTAAAAAGTATGCCTCGCTATATAATAACCATAAAGTAACAGTGAAATATTGGAGGAAATTATTCGAAGTCATATGCAATTTTTAAATATTTTTAATATTCCCAACAATCAAATTGAAATTGAATTACCATACTTATATTACATTCCTTAACTATATATTAAAATCCGTACAAACAAAGATACACAGCGGTTTCCAGTAAATGTTCCTCCAATGCTCTTTCTTTTCTCCTCACTAAAATATTAACAGCAGTGAAGGAGAAACTTAAGGAGTACTGTACAACAATATAGTCGAGAAGTAGTGTAAAAGTGCATCCTTAAAAACTCCAAAAAACTTTTAGAAAATTTGAAATCACAAAATTTTACTAGAATCAATAACATCAAAAAGTACGACTTTTCAACACTTTATACAACCATTTTCCACGATAAATTAAAGTTCCAGCTTTTTGACCTCATAGACAGCTGTTTTTCAATAAAAGATGGAACTTGTAAATTTACTTACCTTGTCAATGGTCATTTGCAAAATTACTTAGTTTAAAACATTCTGATTGTACACACAAGTACTTCGAAGTTGATATTAAAAAAGGTGCTTGAGTTTTTGATTGACTATATCTAGTATGTAGTTTTTGGAGATCAAGTCTTCCAACAATCTGTCAACATTTCCATTGGTACTAATTATTTATTAGTAGACCTTTTTTATATTCATATGAGGCAGAATTTATTCAGAAACATATAACTGAGAAGAAGAAAACATTTGCGGTGGCCTTCAACTCGACATTTAGATATATCGACGACGTATTATCAATTAACAAAAGTTATTTCCATTCATATTCATATGTCCACTTGATATCTCCCAGTTAACATGAAATGAAAGATACCAGAGAGTCTGACACACGTTTCATATTTGGATATTTTACTAGAAAAAGACGTTAATGGTAACCTGACAACAAAACTTGATGACTTCAACTTTTTTTTATCGTCAACTTCCCTTATTTATGTAGTAAAATACCATCGTCACCTGCATATGGAGTTTATGTCTCCCAGTTGATTTGATAAACAAGAGCAATCTCTACGTATGAACAATTTCTAAAACGAGGCAAGCTCTTGACAAACTAGTCAACAGTTTGCAAGTTCTATGATCGACATGATGACCTTGTCAGCAAATACAATCTATCAATGAGTTGAATGCTGACTAACGTTTTTCATACTAATTGTAAGGATATTATATACACACTGAATTGTCTACGGATTTTTCCGTTTGCCCGATCAAGATAGGGAGCACACAACTCATGCTTACTCCTCCATGGCACCTATCCCGACTCTGACTCCGGGGCGATAAAACTTAGACAAGGTCACTTTTAATACCAGTCTCACTTTTCCAGTATGAATTCCTTTCATAAAAGTGATACTGAGATCAAAAGTGAGTTTTTGTAGGTTTTATGGCCCCAGAGCCTGATGGTTTTGGAGGCCCGTGTTTGGTCTGCTCCTCATTTGTTTTGTTTGAATGGACTTCGAGCTTAATTACTGTTCGTTATCTCCATATTTCACTTTAAGACAGGTACTCCCATTAATTCTGATATTTGACTGGAAAAATCTTGAAAGTGAAGAAAATATTGATTGGTTGTACAATATAACATTAAAAGAAGAGGTTACTTCCTATTTAAAGGTACATGTATATGCATACATGCTGCAGCTTGAAGAGATCCACCTTTTAAAAAAGTTATCAAATACATCGTTAGATTGAAAGGACCCTAACTCAAAATTCGATGGGTTAAATTTTAGTATGATAATTAATAGCTCAGAATTTTTGCACTTGATACATACTAGCATAAAAATGTGCTAGTACATGTATACCCGCTTACTGGATTTCCTGTTTCTTCTTAAACTGCTGGGGCTACTTTGCTTTAGTTAAATTAATGATTTTGAGTATACCTTTCTGGATTGCTCTTGAAACGCTGTAGAACTGCTACAGCTATCGAAGAGCAGACAAAGAAAGACCTTTTAAATACTTGAACCTTATTTTGCGTTGGTACTGTACAATTTTTCATAAATGAGAATAAATTTTACATTCTCTTTTAATCATAAATACCGAAGAAAAGGTGTTAATTTACAAGATTCTATTAAGATGTTAAAGACAATCATACTTTTTTTCGGTTGTGGTACTTTATACGTTGTATTCCATTTAATGTATTTTTACCCATCAGAAAATAAGTGAAATAAGGCCAATATATTTCATTAAACATTTTTGTTTTCTAGAAAAAGGTTGTAAATGTCCCACCGTTTGCTCATTCCGTAGAATTGTCAACAAAGAGAACGATCCAACAAGGCAGAAAACGTACAATGCCGAATAATGACGTTAATAACGACGTATACAGTCATCTGCATGAAAAAGAAGAGGATCCTGACATTGATGAAAACTACGACCACGCCAATGGAAATATTAATCGAGCGATGGAAGAGAGTAACTACAGTAATCTCAATACAGGGAGAAGTAATAAGGAATCTGTTGTTTCTGCTTCTGAAGGAAATGATTATGACGTCCAAGGACCAACTAGTGATTACTGTGCACTTAAAAAGCAGTAAAGAACCTGTATGTTCTTAAGCAAAGAACGTGTTGCACTTAAAATTAATTTTGTTTTATGGCTGTAATTGTTGTTGCTAATGACAGAGATCTTACTTAAGAAATAATAAATGCAGTACAAAAGAATTAATTATCAAACTTTTGATAGACATGTAACATAATAATTATTTATAAATATTTTTTATTCATTTAACTGTACAACGAATTCTGGTTAATTGAATAAGGTGAAGATAACAAACAGTGATCGATCTAAAACCATTGAAAAACCTAACAAGCAATACAAATCTGTTAATGGGGCATAAAAATGCCCCCCCCCCCCCCCCCCCGAAATTTCAGAAGTAGGATTGTTGGGGGAAGTGATGACAGAGATTAAAAAAAATGCAATTTGTATTTGAGATTTCAAATATGCATTTACTTTAACGATTTATATTAGCAATTTTTATCAATGACATGTTTGACTGATAATATTTAGTTTATAAATAAAAAAGAATTATACATGTATGCATGCATCTTTAAGTTCTGTATCATGACAACTTGAATTTGTATCAGAGGCAAATATTGCAAATTTATTGATTGTAAGACTCAACTAATTGAGAGAATTTCCCTTCAAATCACAGCTTTAAAGTACAATTACAACTCCACCCCTCTCCATTACTGCTTCCATAATTAAATTAATTAAATTGTAATGGAGATGTGCAAATGAGACAAGGCTTGGTATGGGACTTTCTATGCAAATAAGCTGATTATAACACAAGAGATTTGACTATTATAAAAAGAAGCGTTAAATGAAACTCACTTATTGATACATGCTTAAAGTTACATTCCATACTAAATACACATTATGACGTCGTCGTTTTCTACTACTCGATTTAACCAACAAGAACAAAAGTTTCAGCGCAATAGCACATATTATCTAAATTCACAGGATTATTGTGAAATAAGAGGCAGAACATAAGAAAAGTTGATGATATTGCTACAGAATTCAGTGATTTATCTCATTTTATCAGAGTTGAAAGAAGTCTACGTTAGACTCAACGTTTTTAACGTGTTTTAACAAACACCACAAACAGTATCTCAACAATTAAACTAATGACATTTATTCAGCAATATCATCAATCTTTGGAATATTCTGCTTATAAATGAATTTTGTTTTTGACATATTAAATTCACATTGACCTTGCACTTGCACGGAAGCAGATTTATTGATGTTGTTAATTTCTTTCAGTAGTAGCGGACGATGACGTCATAAAATGTATTGATTATATCAATATCAGTAAGTAAATTTCAACCTTTTCTGTTTCAAAAACTCTTAAGTGTTTTTAATAAGCTCATTTGCATAGAAAGCCAATACCTAGCCCTAACTTGCTTAAGTGGTGATAAATGCAATTAAAATGCTCTACATACACCAGAAAAAGAATATTTTCTATAAATATATATTTTTAAAAATCTTAATAGATATCTATAAATGCATTAAGTATCTTCAAGATGATTATGGTCATAAAAAGGTTCCACGGCAGGTATGACCAGTCGATGCTTGCTCCTCCATGGTACCTGATTGCTTTTTTTTCAGAGTTCTTTGTTCTTCTCATTGGTGTGCAAGTACACACATGCAATGTGTGGAGGAAATAGTAATATCAAATTTCTCTCAAACCGATCCCAGATAAATCCTACAAATTTTGACAAAATAATGATATTCAAAACCTCCAAGAAAATACAAAATACTGAAATTAATTTCTTGTATTGTTTGTGCTGATTCTATACAGTGTCTTTCTGATTATGAAAAAATCCACAAAAAATGATTGAAAGTATAATTTAAAACTGCTAAAAGGAAAAAAAAAACTTTTGCGAAGTTGTTGTAATCTAATTAATTACACGTCCTAAAAAAATTCTTTGTAATCTATTAAGAAAAAAATCCTTTAAATATTTTTAATGCAGTTGACACCAGCCTTTTGCAGTTGTATTCTCATGGATAAAGGAGAACACATATATTTATCATAAGACCTGAACAAGGACAACTTTTCTATCGTCAACTTCCTTTATTTCATTATTTATGCAGCAATATACATGTACCATTATCACCTGCAGGTGGTGTTTATTTCTCCCAGTTGATTCGATACGCAAGAGGATTCTATTTATACAATTAATTGATTCTGACAAGGTGTCAAAGTTTTTTTCTTCATATTTAACATATTGTCTGGTATAGTCTTCGACAAATTTCAAAATATACATTTATTTGATATTTTGTCGCCATTCCGAGGATTGGGGTCCCCTAAGTTTTATCATGTCAACAATTTATAAGGAAATGTCGGGTTGCTATTATTACCATCATTACGTCGATCTTTTCCTCATTCTTTGTTTTCATAACCCCTCTTCCCTTTTGCATTTAATGCGGTAGCTTAACATACACCTTTTTAATATGACAAGGTTTGTAAAATATCTTGTAAGAGTGTAAAAATTTGACTTTGGCTCCGGGACTCCATAGGGCCCACAAAAGACAATAAATATATCATGGTGATAATGAGCCATAAGTAAGACAGCGAAAGTATGAAAAATATAGATAAGATAGTGCTATAATCAAACATAAGGAAGTAAAGACATGATATTTGAGTACTGAGTTTAATGAGATACGTGTAAATACTTCATAGGATTAAAATCTTAAGCATGATATGGAATTCTTTATACAACGATTTTCCTGTCGTGAAAAAAATCATGGCATTCGACTTGAAGTATATATTTTGACTGGTTAAATCTAGAGCTTCAAACAACTTCATAGGAATAAATTTTACTTTTTTACACTTATCTGATTCAGCCAGCAAATTAAAGCTTCACTTCCTGTTCTTTATTCATTCAACGTGTTATTGGCAAAGAGAGATTATATAGTCAATTTACTTATCCTGTAACTATAAAACTTTTTTATTTCCGGGGAACATGTAGGTTCCTAGTGATACTATGATATTGAAAACAAAGCTAATTTACAGTTGTACTCCTTCAATGATTTTCTCTGTCTATATTATACATTTGAAAACAAAGCTGACTTACGGATGTGCCCCCCCCCCCCCCGAAAAAAAACAACCTTAAAAGATATCTTTTTAACTTGTCAAGAGTTTCTGATATTTTGTGAAAATGTGAGTGATGATTATTGCTTTCATCAAAGTACTACTACTACTTGTCAGGAATTCATCTGCATCTGCTTTTTTGAAATTAAAAAAAAAAAAAACTATTTTGTAATATACACTGTATAATTAGTACATATAATTTTGATTTCAGTCTTGAGAGTTATTACACAGTCATAATTGAAATTCGATATATAATTGTGTATGAGAGAGAGAGAGAGAGAGAGAGAGAGAGAGAGATTGAATGTTATTTTGCGTCCCGTTCGAGAATTTTTCACTCATGTAGAGACGTCACCATATACCGGTGAAGGGCTTCAAATTAAGACCTTTACTCGGCACTCGATCAAGGCCGTTGACCAGTGAGGGTTCTTTATCGTGCCAACGCCTAATGTAACACGGGGCCTCGGTTTTTAAGGTTTCATCGAAAGACCCGCAACTTCTACTTCAAAGTTATAAGAGCTTGGCGAAGGAAAAGTTGCTACCTCTTTTTTATATTCTTATCGCGGCCATGATTCCAACCCACGGTCTTTCGATCACGGAGAGAGAGAGAGAGAGAGAAAGTCCTAACGCAATAAAAGTTTAAAGATTAAATATTTGAAGTACATGTATTAGAAATTATTCACACATGCAGAGTTTGTCTTTTTATTTTGTGTTAACATTATTTTCTCTTCGAATGTTTGTTAAACTGAAATAGAAGTAAATTCATTTATTTTTTCATATCTTAAATGCAGGTGTATTCTATGAATTAGGAGGTCTTTTGAATTATAAAGATTTTTTTCATATTTGTTTTAGAGATGTTTGATTTTGAATGGAGCATTATGTACAGAAAAATGTACTACAGAATTCCTAAATGAATGATTTTGTGTTAAAAAATATGAAAGGTTCAAATTTTGTACCTCGATTCTGATAGCCTTTTCTGACAGGTGTGAATCATCTTTAAAAGACTTAATTTTTAAAAAAAAAATTACAAATGAATAAGGCAAGAAAGGGATATATTAATTTAAGAATGATGTCTTCTATTGAAAGTTTGTAGCCTGGTTTGTATGTTTTATTGTTTGATTTAGATTTATTGTCTTCGAGCATATTTCACCCATTTTGATTAGCTTCCGATTGGCGGTGGCGGAAAACTGCCCCAAACAAAAAACTATTATAGTTAACTATTAGTTTACTATAGTTAACTATAGTTAATACTTTGATTTACTATGAAACTTTACCTTAAAACTTTTTTGAAGATTTGGAGCCTTAATATTTTTCAAAATACATACCAATGATGTATATTTTTGAAATAATATGTAAATATACAAGTAAAATTGTCTTTTAGTATAGAAAAATTGCTTGTAGGGATTTAAAAAAATAAGATATAACGATAATAAATTCATAGTATAAATACTTTGAATAACTATAGTAAAAACTTTAATTTACTATAGTGAAAACTTTGATACTATGGTTAGCTATAGTAAACTATAGTTTACTGGAGTCTTTTTTGTTAGGGGCAAATTTAGATCCGTACATAGCACTTATGTCCACTGAGCATTTAGGTATCTTTTTCGTGCCAGTATCTGCTTTTAACAGAACCTTGGTTTATACAGTCTTATTTAAACTTAGGGCATAAGGATCGACTCCGTGTTCCACAACATAAATGCGACTTTCTTTGTTATTCTTGCGTTACGTTGGTAACATTACCAGTTTGTACTCATATAATCAAAATAAGAATTCATTTAAATTTAAATACAACTGTATTGTTTTCACTAAGATACCATTCCTACCAAGAAATAATCTTATTTAATATAATACTTTTTTCACATGACAGATAACATCATGATTGATACAATATTCTCAAGATGTGGTATTCATTCAGAACTTTCAATTCTTGAAATTATTAAGCAATTGGCATTTAAAGCAAATTCCACGATATGATAATGTTCTATGCACAACAATTTTAGGGCGATGTCAGGCACTTGAAAACGTACAACAAGCAACAAGGACGTAAAATTAAA